TTGAAAGAGCTTGTCTCTTCCCTTGGCACCTCCCCAAAACTAGTCTCTTCTTTGGGCACTCAGATTTACTGGAATCATTTGATTTGGATAATGAAAATACAGAGGCTGTTCTTGCTTCCCAGCCACCTACAAAAAAGCAACATAGTTTCAAATTTTTGGATGTTATATATGGTTATTATATGTGGCTTATAATGGGACATTTTACTATTCATAATGATTGAACAAAACACATGATAACCTTCACCCCTCTCCAATGAGCCATCCTAATATTTATCACGAAAATGACTTCAGCATACTGCCTTTTACTACAGCATCTTTATAACACCATATCCCCTGGGACTCAGGGCCGTCACTGTTGTTGGGTAAGCTAATTGCTTGATATTCGTTGAACTTTTTCTGCTCAAGACCAGACCTTATTTATTTTGAGATTCCATTTTCAGATCAGTATATTCAGGCTCCTCCATCTGTAAACTATATGTAATTTAAATAATAGAGAAATTACATAATTGCTTTACAACAATTTTGAAAGAATGAGAGAGTCTAGACAATTTGGCCAGTGTATATGGCAGAATTTGGATAATTCAAGTGTGAGATTCTATATATCTAGAACGTAAATTATTGAAATGTTGTATAGATACACACACACACACACACACACATTATTCTTTGTTTTTAAGGTAAAAGCCTAAAAGTTATGGGATAACAAAGTGAGGGGTAGAGGATTATTAAATAATATGACTTGAATTACATACATTGTGTAATTTAAATATTAGCTTTACTTCCTAAGTATTTTTTACTGGTCACCTTTTGTGAGTTCAGGTCTTAGGTGATAAAATAGCTCTCAGATAAGGAGAGAAAGACGTGCAATGAAAGAGAAAGTCATGAAAGCTCCTCATAGACTTGTGCCAGGTGTGTCTTGATGTGTGCTGGGAGAAGGCTATGACCACCTGTTACCTCTTTGCCACCGGGAAGCTAAGACATTTGGCAGGATGAAGTCCCATGCAATATAAAATTGACTGGAAGTTGCAACAGTGGTGCTAAGTAAGAGAGAAAAAGGAGAAGACTTTGTTGACCTGATATTTCTGGTAACCTTAACAGCCATACTGTCCGACGTTAATTCTCTTGGTTATCACTCCTTTTGCACTGTTTGTTACCCTGCACAGTTCAATGTATTAATCTACTCCACACTAAGGGTTTGTGATATTTCCTATTAGCTTTTCCCAAAAAAGCAGATGAAGAAGGAGCTACAGAAAGAAGAGAACTGGTCCCAGAAGGGTTAGGTGAGTAATGATAGAGACCAGTTTTGCCTCAACTCTGTGCTTAGATGTTATCTACTCCTTGGAGCCTGCCATGACCACTGTGTTGGCATCCTGCCTTCATCCTAAGTCCCCACTCTCATGTCTATTGTTACCTGCTTATCTCTACCAGCAAAAATACAGGTTTAGGGAAGGCTGCAATCTTTATCTGTTTGATTCACTGATATATTAAAAGTGCTTAGGAAAAGGGGAGAAAGAACATAACGAGCATTAAAGTATTTATGGTAAAACTTCTCAAAAAAAAAGCAACTCAGCATTTCCAAAGACTTCTAAGATAAATGTAAGTGCAGTACTAAGTCTTTTTGAAAAATTTGGGGAAATTCAGTGTGAGGTTTTTAAGAGAAGAGGATTATTTTCTGCCTAATACTTCTGTTTAATTTCTATTTCAGCACCCCTGCAGGGGGCATATTGGGACAGAGTATTTCAGGAAGTGAAGCTTAAGAGATAAAGGAGCTTATTCTAATGAAAAGAGAAAGGAAAGAGGGAATGCATTGGCTCATGGTTAGGGGAATTCTCAGGAAATGGCTATTGCCTTATTTTCTGCTTGTAGCTCACTCATTCAATGATTATTATGGATTAGTGGGTGTTTCAGAGAAACTGAATTTATTACAGAAATTTCTATGATTTGACTTATTCTAACTATAATAATACAGCATAGTGAAAACATGAATTAATTTACATTTTATTGTCTATTTAGGTCACATTCGTTTGTATGTTACTAGTCTGTCCTAAATCAAAGGTTCCAAAATACCCACCTGTAGACTCTTATTGTTTCATAATGAAATGTTAATGGAAAAGTGACAAAAAATAGGATCTATAAGTTTATATTGTTCAAACCAGCAATTCCATTCCTAAGAATCCTTGCTATCTTTACATAGAAATATGATTAGCTGTAGAGATATTAGTCACAAAATTGCTTACACTGGTGGAAAAGATAAAAGCCATATAATTTCCCATTTAGTCTTCAGTATGTCTGTATGATGCAGTTTTGTGCAGTCGTGGTGTAGAAATGTGTTAACTGACCTCAACAGATACCTGTTGCCTGGCATGGCAGTTTGTGCCCAAAATCTTAGCACTTTGGAGGCAAAGACAGAGGATCTGTAAAAGAGTGTAATATTAGTACTGCTTATCTCAGAATAAGGGAAAACCACTTTTTCTTTTTTAGTTTTTCCTTTCCTGTGCTTCAAGTATTTGTACAGTTAGAAATTATAATACATAAAATCTATACTATCACTTAACAAAGGATAAGTCAGGTTATACATTGTTTGTGATTTTTCTATCACTGATACTTGGTATTAAAAAGACCAGGATCTTTGAAGAACTGTGTCCATTTAATTTAAAAGTTGTGTTTTCAGGAAAAGGGAGATGTTCACATTTTATATTTAGCTCCATAACTGAGTTTGCAGACATAGGAGGCACTATAGTCATTGTAATATGTGTAATGCTTTAACCACTTACAACATAATTTTCCGTAACCTTAAATCTTTACATTTGTGGAAGGCGAGTTATAGTGTCGCTCCCATTTTAGAAAAGAGATGTTCTGATGCTCCTGTGATATATGTGGTTTGCCCAAGTGTGCTTAGCTTGTCAGTTCTGGTTTCTGAAATGCAGATCCTGTGCTTACTGAACCATGGGGGTTTTTGAGGTGTAAGGATAGAGTCCAGTGACTTGTGCATGGTAAAGTGCTCTTACCACTGAGCAAAACCCTCAGCTTTACATAACTGCAGCAACTAAGTATAAATGGAGGTCAAGCAGTGGCTACGGGCTTATAATGCCAGCTACTCAGGAGGTGGAGATTTGGAGGATTGTGGTTCAAAGATATCCTGGGCAAAAAGTCAGCAAGACCCTATCTCAACTAAAAAGCTGGGTGTGGTGGTGAGTGCTGTGATCCTAGCTACATAGAAGGCATAAGTAGGAAGATTGCAGTTCAAACTGGTCTGGGCCAAAACACAAGATCCTGGCTGAAAAATAACAAGCTAAAAGGGCCGAGGGGCGTGGCTTAAGTGGTAGGGCACCTTCCTAGCAAGAGCAAGTCCTTGAGTTCAAAGCCCAGTACCTTCCACCCCAAATGCATATTTAAATGCTATGCTCTTAAGAACATAGAGTGTCTTTGGGAGTATCTCTCTGTGGAGACAGTGACATAAGACATGCCACCATTTGTATTTTTCTCCTTGAACAAACAGTTGGAGCATGAGTAACAGCTGTGACAGTATGATTTCTGAGGGCTATGGTTTCCCTGAAGTTCCCATGACTGCAGTGAGCATTCCTTCCTATTCTCTGGCAATGTGCTATGATTTAAATGAGTGGGGTTGAGGGTCTACCTTGACCTCCATGCTATATGTGTTTTCGTGAACTTACCAGTGCGAAAGATGTCTGAAACCTTGTTGACTCCCCCTCACCCACTTTTGGATACTTGTCTGAGAAAAGTCATCCAAATCCTATCAAAGTAAATGCATTTATAGAATCATGACAACTGTTAAAAATGATAAATATAGTTTTCCTCCACCAACACTGTGTATATTTGAGCTACTTTGTTTAATGAGCAATGGATAGAACTGAAGATTTTATCAGTTCACTTGGCATCAAACTTAGTGTGTTTTAAGCAGATCTCTTGATCTTGACCGCAGTCCACCTCCAGTAGGCTCTCCCAGTTCAGTAATGACAACCTCCTTATAGTTGCTCAGGCTAGAAACCTCAGGGTCACCCCTGAGTCTTCTCCCTTGCTCATACCCTGCATCCCATCCATGAGCAAATCATGTTGAATTTACCTTCAATACCCACTTGCCTTTGGACCACTGCTTACCCACCTACTGCTTCCACTCTGCCTCTCTTTTGGCAGTAGCCTCCTGTTTGGCCTTGCTTTGTGTCCTCCACACCATGGATCCATTCTCAGTGCAGTGGCCAGTGGGGTCAGTCCCTGTCACTGATCATATCCCAGGTGCCAATCCCTTTCTGTCTTCCTAGTGTCCAGCTAGGCCAGGCTGTGGCCTCTGGTGACCTCTCTGACCCATTCCTTTATAGTTCCTCCATCCTCTCTGTTCCTCCTGCAGCTCAGGATGCTGTGGTCCTCTAGCTCTTCCCTGAGTTCAGGACGCTCTTCCCCAGGTTGCTCATGCACACTCAGCCTTACTCACCCACCAGCTGCTCGGTGAGGCCTTCCCTCCCCTTTGGGCTTGAACGTCCCACCCCTCTATTCAGCTCTAGTTTTCTCTTTATTTTTATTTCACATATTACTTGTTAGTTTTATGTCCTTTCTGTTCTCTGACTAGAATATATGCGTATGAAGAGAGCAGGAATTTTTGTGTGTGTATGAAAGGTTATCTCCCCCATGTTCACAATACTGCCTGGCACATGGAGGGGCTCAAGAAACATTTGCTGAATGTTTGTTAAGCTGAAAATAACTTCTTGATCATATTTAATGTTGGTCATTGCATTGGACATTTAAGTACTTATATAATTTAGTTTTAATAAGATATAGGTAAATATGTCATTTTAATTTGGGGAGAGGGAGATGACATACTTTCTGTTTTATCACTAGGCTTTTTGGAGCATGATGTTGCTTTAAACAGATTTGCCAAGACAAAATCCCATTTCAGATATCAACTATTATTTATATAATCATTATAAATGTGGTAGCCATCCTTTTACTTCAAAGCCCACCATTCTTCCTCTGTTGTTTTCCAGAAAAGAGGCACAGTTAGATGAAGAAGGACAGTTTCTTGTCAGAATAATATATGATGATTCCAAAACTTATGACCTTGTTGCTGCTGCAAGCAAAGTGCTCAGTAAGTTACATGCAACTTGCCTTCTTCGGCTTAATTACACATGGATGCTCAATAGAATGTATGTTTCAAGATCACAATGTATGGTTATACAAGGTGTTCACTGCATAAACTTGGTGGGGGTCATTAGGCTATGCTGAGTCTTGATCTTCCTTTCAAAAAGTCTTTAGAGAATGGAAAGTAGAAAGGCTTTCTTCTCCTCTCTACAGAAAGCCTTGTATTGAGGAAGGAACAAAATATTGATACTCATGTAATTCAGTTATAGTGTAAAGAATATAGTAATTACACCAAGTGTAGTTCACAGAAAACATTCTGAAATCTTTTTTCAATCACAAGTTACTTTAACTATTAGCAAAAGGTAGAGGAAACAAAACTTCTAAACAAAGTTCATTGCTAAAAGTACAAGTTCAAAGGCTTCATGGAGGAAAAAGTCATTCTCAATATATCATCTATTTTCTTATAGAGCTCAATTTGCACCTGGAGTGTAGTATGTGGATGATAGAACAAAGCTGGTTAGTATTGCCTGGAAGAATACAAAAATAAGACAAAAAATTGGCAAATGGCTAATAATTCAAAAAATATAGCTTCATTAGTAATCAAAATTGAAATGAATATGAAACAAACTTTAAAAGTAAACTTGCAGATTTGTGAAAATGAAGTAACTAGTGAGGGTCAGAAGTAAAGTTAAGAGGGCTACCATACAGATTTTGAATCTGATGAAAAACTAAGATGAGTTTTTAAAGAATGATTCTGTATTATCAAAGTCTTTTGAAAAATATGTTCAGGCGCTTAAGAAATTTTTTCTAAAGAAATAATCTCTTCATTAAGATTTATATGTCAGTATTTTTATGTCAGAGTTCTTTATATTATCAAAAATAAAAATAAAAACAAATTTTCAACAATAAAAATAAAAATATTTTCAATAAGGAAAGATTGGTTGTATAAATTGTTGTACCAAGAAATTGAACAAAATTGCAGTTAAAATTGATACAGAAAAATTACGGAAAAAATTTGAATTTAAAGGCAGGATGCTAGGGTGCAGACTGTATGTGATCAAGTTGTTAAATGTCCATATTTATATGAAAGAAAATTACTTTGCATCAAAACATTGTCATGTGTATTCCTGATGATTTAAAATATCTCTAATTTCAGAAGAAACAAGGAATATGTTAAAGATATGCCATAAAATGCCAAGATTAAGTAGCTTGTTATATAAGATGAGAAAACAGTTGTGTTGTTAGTATGTACCGATTTATACCACTAATGTGTTAAGATATTGACTTCTCAGATTTCATTATATTGTGATGGCCAGAATTTTTTCTCTTGATCTATGTCTACACTGCACGAAAAATGTGAATATTTTAAATCGTTTTAATATTCTTCTCATTGCAATATCCTACCTATATAATATGGATTTTTTCCTCCTCTTTAACCTGTAAAACAGATCTCAATGCTGGAGAAATCCTTCAAATGTTTGGGAAGATGTTTTTCGTCTTTTGTCAAGAATCTGGTTATGATACCATCTTGCGTGTCCTGGGATCTAATGTCCGAGAATTCCTACAGGTAAGCAATTTGAGGTCCTGCAATTGGAAGTGAGTTTGTGGTTCTTAAATATAGGTTCTGGGATACTTTTATTCAGCCAGCTGATCAAGAGTGTCTTGCTGCTAAGAAGGAATCACAGTGACTTTTTTCACATAAAATTATATTTTTAGATGATTTTGAATATACTTTAGCATCATATTTTTCTTAATTCTTAGTTGCTTACACTGAATATGTAAGTCATAAATTAGTGTTTTCTTTAAAAAAAATCTCCCCAGGGTCTGTTATGATCTGTTCAATACTCTTTTTATGATGATATGTGCTAATGGTGTGGTTTTACCTTTTAGACATACAACATAGTCTTATTTTTTGTTTGTAAAATATTCTTAAGAATAGAGTGTATTAGTATTTATGAAATCCTATCTGGTGCTTGTCATTTAGGAAAAGCACTAAGGTTTTCAGGTGTTCACCACCAAAAATATTTGAGAACCATTGCTGTAGAATTAAATATTAATTAATCTATCATAGAAAAGAAAGTAGGAAACTTTCCAAGTCAGTTTCAGGTTAAAAAAACAGATAACATCACCAAAGGCTTTTGTCTTAGTCTTGTTAAAATTACCTTAAAGGTTTTACTAGTAATTCACCTATTAGATGGGAGACTATTTCTGGAAGGACCCTTTTGCTGAAATGTGTTGACATTGAAAATTATGTAGCTCCTTGCAAAGAATATTTCTAAACCGGCCGTCGAGAGCATCCAGACCTTGCTGGAAAATGATGTCAGCGCAGTACCAGCTGAACTGAAGCCCGGTTTTCAGGGAATGTAAACTACTTTCAGGCCAGCTGCATTATTGATTTAGCAGCCAAAATAAGAACTTTCGTGTTTAATCGAAATGTCTGTTGTTTACATAGGGACTTTTTCTTATAAACTTAAAAGAGCATTAAATCAAGCTGGAAACTCGTTTGCCACCTCCTGCCAAGGGTTTATTAAACTAAGCTGTCAAAAAAAACCCCTGTCCCTTCCTCATGAAGCTACTGCTTCATTAAATTAAGCTCAAGTGCAACAGGCAGTATTTAGATGGATTGAAGTCAGATACTTCATATTTGGGGGATTTTAGATGTTTGAGTACATATTCTATTTTTAAAAATATTTTTGTTGATCACTGTCACCTGATCAGTGAAATTTTAACTTTCAGTTGCTCTCTCTTCATTTCAGTGTCTCTCTTATTGGTCATATGGACGTAACACAACAAATATTGAAATGGTTTTACTAATTTTTTCCACCCGTACTCATTGTGACCATTGGCTAAACTATTTTCACCATAGTAGTTTTATGAGTGCATTTTAGAGCTAGCTATACCATTCAATGGAGAGCCACTAGCTTCCAAGTCAGTGCAAAAAGAGTACACACATGTAAGTAAATGTAAAAACAATAAAATAAAACGTAAAAAGGTGTGTAAAATAGCATATGTGTAATTTTGTATTAAAAGTTAGTTAACATGCCAAGTGCCAATGGCTTACATCTCTGCTCCTAGTTTTAAGAGGCAGAAATGAGTAGGATAGTGATTGGAAGCCAATCTGGGCAAATAGTTTGCAAAATCTTATCTTGAAAATACCCATCATAAAAAAAGGCTGGTGGAGTGGCTCAAGTGGTAGAACTCTCGTCTAGCAAATTTGAGGTCCTGAGTTCAAACTCCAGTACCACCAGGAAATAAATTATTTAGCATATTTTAAAATTCTATATGATGCTTTTATTTTATTTTTCCTCTGATGTAAAAATGTGAACAATAAGAAAACCACAAATGTAGAATGCTATAAAATTTCCATCAATATTATCAACTTTTGATTCTGTTCTTTTTTTCCTGGTTTTGAGGCTATTTTTCATGGCAAATTGAGTATGTTAAAATGTTGCTTTTCTTAAAACTAGATTTTTTTTGTTATGATTAGGCTAATTATGTAAAAGTGAAACAAACCTTTTTATGTTGAAGTAACTGTGAAATAAAGCAATAGTGTTTCATGAATTGTTTTAAGTTCATATCTCACATGTATAAATAGACATTTTCTTTGTGTACATTAATAAAGCATTCTTTATTATATACCTCAATTGTTCCATAAGGAGTAAGATGAAATAGACTTCAGTTTAAAGTTTTAATGGGTTTTATTTCTTTTTTTACCACCTAGTTTTAATCAACCACCAGTCTTTTAACTGTATTTCCTAAGTGCTGAATTTTGAAAACTCAGTCATGCTTTTTCCATTTCCCCAATACTTCCTTGGGGGAGTTTGCTGTTATCTCAGAATTGGATGGGTTGCTTGCATCTTTTCTTGACCTCTTGAATCTCTTCTTCATTTTAGAAACCTTACCTAGTAATTCGTCTGAAATGCAAATATAATATAATCCATCATAGCATTTTCCTGCTTAAACCTTTGAGTAATTCCCCATTGCTAATTGGAAATGCCAAACATTCAAGACAATGGAAAAAAAGTCCATCATTTATCCATCCCTCTTCTTCCTGTCCCTCAGTCTAGCCATTCATTTATCTTGTTTCCCCATCCACACTTTTGCATATGCTCTTCCCTCTGCCTGAAACATCCTTCCAGCTCCTTTTAACCTCCATGAGGCCTCTTCATCCTGCAAGTCAAATTGCTTCCTCTAGGGAGACCCCAATCTCTACCCCACCTGAGTCCGGATAATTGTCTTCTTGTTTTCAGGACACACTCCATTCCCCAGCCACAGTGTTCTCACATTGCATTATCATTTCCTGTTTTTGGGAATGGAATGTACACTTCTAAAGGCAAGAGACCATGCATAGACCAGGCACAGACAGTATCTGTGTCATTTAAAAAAGGAATATTGACAATTAGTATAACAATAGGAAGAAAACATGTTAATGTAGGAAGCAAATTCACCAAAAGCTAAAGAGAATTTTATTAAGGATAATCCATTTGAAGTAAGCCCATATAACTTATTTAGAGATGAATCAAAAATTAAAATATAAAAGACTGACACACACTAAACCATTTTTCTTTCCAGGTGGACAAAAGTTAATTACTGGAACAATACCATGTATTATTTTCCCTTTTCTGTTTTATGTCTGTGGTAGCTTGCATTTGTATACTTGTATAATGAATCAAGAGCTTTGAGAAAGTACTGTTTGATAAGACAAACAAGGACTTTTGAATTGGAGCTGCGTCAACCCAAAAGCAGAAGGGCCATTCGTTTTCAATGCTATTGCACTAATACATTCTTTACAGACCCAAGAATTTTACAGAGTTAAATGAAATTAAAATAAGCATCAAAGGCTGTCATGTAGACTACTGAAAAATAAACAGGCAAAATGCACCTTTGGAGCACCAGTCAGGATTTAAATAATGACTTTTAAATATGATAAGGGCCTCATTTGAACATTTATATACTCTCATTGTTTGCTGGAGACACTGGCTCCTGAAACTGACTTTGGTATGGAAGCAGTTTCCTTAGTTGGCTCAACTCATTTAGATTCCTGTTTCTCAACCAGTACCTCTGTTGAGCCTGAGTGGGACTTTACTCATATTCCAGTTGGCTCCAGCTTTTGGCTTATAAAATACAACATTGTGCTTTGGCCAGCTCACCAGCAGCAATCTGGGATTGATGACTGATCTAACTCTTAAATGTTTGTGCAAAGGGTTATTTTGGGATATATGAGGATTTTCCTGAACAGCTGTAGAATTCTAATACTTCCCCAAATTATTTATATTTCATAGAAAAGAATGCACTATTCACTTTATTTTTAACTTTTGAATTTCAAAAGAAAACACTTTTCTCAGCATCCAAAATGACAATTTCTGCAACTTACAATTTAAAAATTGACACATAGGGATTTAGTTTTATTTTAAAAAAAAACTTGTGAAGGCAGATAAGAAATGTCTTAGAACTGGAAGACTTTTCTCTTTGAATAACTGGTGGATATTCTCACAATTTCACAAAATGTTAATTTTCAAATGCAGCATCATATGAGAGGGATCTTTCTTTTTAGCGTGAGTTTAAAAGCAGAAAATGAAAATTTTCTGCAGTTTTGTTTCTTTGACTACTTTTCTTCTTTCTTTATTTAAAATATTTCTCTTGAAAGGACAACACACACACACATACATATAGTTCACATTTAATATTTAAATAATTTTTATGACCCTGGTACAATTTCATTTGCAATAGGGCTTTCTGTTTTTTCTTTTAAATTATCTTCTCACTTGCCATGATCTTAGGCTATTTGTTTTGTGCTTTCCATTATCTAAGGTTAGGATTGCCATTTGCTTTAGGTCTTGTTTGTTTAAACTTTTCATCTTCCAATTCTAAAATAACCTTGTTCTTATAAAACTTACTGAGATGCTTTAAAGTTACATAATTCTCATTAAAAACTGCTGCTGCTGATCCTGTTTTTCAGAGGTGTGAGAAGTAAAAAGAAAGGAAATGCAGTACCCTCGGCATCCATCATAAAGAAAGAAGAAAGAGAGATTTGTAATGACTAAGATTTATTTCAGATCTAAACTTCAGAGATGTTGTCAATTACAGACAACTCCCTCTTCACCATCCACTAAGACAAGGTTACTGGGAAACTGAAAATCTCTTTTCCTTAAAAATTTCAAGGAAGGGTCCTATTTGGCCATCTCTGTGGATCATTTAGGCATTTTTCAATAGATATACTGGAAGTAAGGGAATGAGATCATGGACTTCTACAGACTTTGTCTCTCATTAGGTAGGAGCTTATTTTCAGTCTGCACGTTACAGAAAGAAAATCTGCATTTGTTGTGAAACATTCCAAGATCTTTAAAAATATGGAACTTTATAGTATTTCTCAAAAGAATATTGAAACGTCTTTGCTTCTGAAATCTGTAGGGTGCAGTAAGCTGGGACTTCCAGCACACTTTCCCAGGATGCCAGAACTCATCTTTCTTCTATAAATCATAAATGCCAGGTGACAAGGTGAACTGCACTTGTAGTGGCAGAATTCCTGTGTAGAAAAAGTTCATTTTGCTTGTAGAAAAAAACAACAAAGTCATTGATGTTAGGACATGCAGAAATGGAATTATAACCCTAGACTAACCTTTTGGTATCTCAACATAAAATATCCTCTCTTAGTTTTTAATTTTATAAAACTAATAAGAAAATGAGTACAAGCATATTTTAGACTTGTTCCACTGTTCACTGGCAGTCTGCTTGTGCTGCATTGTGTGTATTGACATTCCTCTATGTCTCTTTGGCTTTCACATCGTATACTTCCAGTTGGCAGTGCATCTCCTTTTGTCCTATATTGCTTCCCTGGGTGTACATAGAAAGAAAATAGGTATCAGTTTGAGGTGAAACTCTTATTCCCGGAATACGTTGCTACAGTCATGAATGAATAATCAACTTTGGTTAGGTAGTACTTACTATCAAATCTGGAGATTTTCCCTCGGCTTTCTGAAAGTCTTTTTTTGTGGCTTTTTGAGGTTGGTACAACAATTGTAGTCCAAATTTGAAAATAACACACTGATTAGCAATATAAATGCACTGAAATGAAAATAACTTAATTTTTAATCATTAATCCAATTTCTTACAGTAGACAGGCTGTGGGACTTACTTTAATTTTGAGAGACTAAAACCAAATAAGGAAAGCTGTAACTAAAGAAACCCCAAGAGTATTTTTTTTACATTAGATACTATCTACAGAAAATCAATATTACACTAAGTGATGTTAAATATTTTATGCTACAGGAAAGCACTTTACTTGTCCATTTAATTAACAGTAAATTCAATAAAACAGCAAATCTCTGTAGAGTTGGTTACCACAAAAGAGTTAAAACAAGAACATTCTCACTTGGCATTTTTAATGTTCCACTGTCTTTCAAGATAAATTTAAGCAATATTTTGTTATCAATATTAATATCTCAATACTATCCATACCTTTATTTAAATTAAAATGGCTCCAGCCACCCCTAGAGTGTAGTGCCTATCTTTAGTGACACATTAATTGCCAGATTTGGTTTGGTATCTGATCTTCCTTAGTATCAAGGCAGCTACTAGCACAAATGGTGCCACTTGTCACTGCCTCATGCTACTGGCTTGACTGCATGCACGAATGTTGCTAATAATATAGCATGATACAAGATGAAAATAGATGGTTACAAAATGATATAAGCATGCTGATATATGAAATATTTAAACATTTTATTTATGAAAAATTGACAAAAATATAAAATACCTATTTGAGTTAATTTTCTTTGTTTTTAAGGACCGGTCTGTATTAGAAAATTGTACTTAATGTGGAAATTAGCTCAGTTTTGACTTTGTGAACAATGGAGATGAAAATAAAACTCTTCTGACAATTTTTTCTCAAGAGATTTCTCTCATGAGATTTTTCACAACATCATTAGAATTGCAAGAGTTCTGGAGGTGTGTGAAGAATAGGTATCCCCTTCTCAGGGAAGAATTCCCACGAGAACTTGTCACAGGAACAGTCCACCACACTGTCCAACCAAGTAAAAAGAAATGGAGGATTCCAGGACTTGTGGATCACACAAACTGTCTAATGTTGTGGCTGCTGTACTGGATTATTTTTCTACAGTAATAGCGGCCTCTAGAGGTAATCAAGATAAACTGATGGTTTTGTTAAGAACTAGCCTGACTTGGGCTGGCAGAGTGGCTCAAGTGGTAGAGTGCCTGTCTAGCAAGCACGAGGCCCTGAGTTCAATCTCCAATACCTCTAAAAAAAAAAAAAAAAAGTTGTAATTTGGAGGAAGCAAATAGGAAGCAGTATTAATGGAGGCAGTATAAAAAGACATCAGATTTACCCAGTTGAGAAGGTCATTGAGACATGTATTTAGATTGGAGTATTAGTCTTCACTTCATGACCATGCTGTGCTGTGGTGTATGTGTGTGCAGCCACACACAGAATGAACTAAAGACTCCTTAGAACATAATATTGGACCAAGTTAAAAGAGTGGTTTGCACCAACTATTGTGGCAATCTTTATACAAATAAGTGTTGTATTTTAGTGAATACTGTAAGACGAAAGAATTTGACAGTTTCTAACTTAATGACATAACTATAAGAATTGAAAATATTTACTGGAAAATATATTAGTTTTCCAAAACTTCAATTCCAAAGGTAATTATTTTGCAGGTTTGCCATGAATCTTTACCTTGATTGGAGACTACTGATACACATGGAAAAATTACATTCCTTTAATTTCTAAAACATGTTTGTAATTTCTGAAATACTACTCCACAAAATAATATGTTTATATTCCATTACGTTTACCACACTTATATTAGTTTCTAAAATAAAAATAAGTGGGTCACTGTAGTGCAAAAAGAAGGGTGATGTGTGATCACTCTGAGTGTCCTCTGCTGTTATTACAACATACATGTACACATGTGCACTCCAAACTCCTGCAAATGCGCCTGCCTTTGTTTTTACCCTTAACTCTGTCTTTGGTCTGGTTCAGGCTTTCCTTTGACATGTCACTTGTTTGTCTTTTCTCGAAGTACACTGTTAATAGTCACAGATTTTTAAAATTTATTTTTTGTGATACTGGGACTTGAAATGAAGGCTTACACCTTGAGCTACTCCACCAGCCCTTTTTGTGTTAGGTATTTTTGAGATAGGATCTCGAGAACTGTTTGCCCGGGCTGGCTTGGAACCACAATCCTCCTGATCTCTGCTTCCTGAGTAGCTAGGATTACAGATGTGAGCCACCAGCACCCAGCTTATTTTTCTTAATTATACTATTTTCATTTCAGTTACTCCATAGTTACTTGTCTTACAGGTGTCTCACTGAAGAGTGTGCTTTGAAAATGTTCACTTTGCCAACCTGCTCAGTAACCTCAGAGCTGAGGGTGCTTCTGTACTTTGTTTGCTGATTCTGCTGTTGTTGTGAGGGTATTCTTTACCTTTCACTCTTTTCTCTTTATTGCAGAACCTTGATGCTCTGCACGATCACCTTGCTACCATCTACCCGGGGATGCGTGCACCTTCTTTCAGGTGCACTGATGCTGAGAAGGGCAAAGGACTCATTCTGCACTACTATTCAGAGAGGGAAGGACTGCAGGATATCGTCATTGGAATAATCAAAACTGTTGCTCAACAGATACATGGCACAGAAATAGACATGAAGGTAATGACCCGTGATGGGCACTCTTCTGATCACAGATGGCATTTGGAATATTATCAGTGATGCTCCCTAAATAAAGTTGTTGCTGCTAGTGAATTTTACAAGAGTATACATATGTATATAATGTCAGCATGATGGATACATTAGTACTCTTTTATAGTTGGTGTTGGAATGCATTATACATGACACATTTTTCTTTGTAACAGCAGTTTTTTTTTTTTCTAATTATATTGCTTGAGGCAGGAAGAAATTTAGTTTGCCTTCTTGTGAGCACACACCAGCTGGGAAGCAGGAGAATATATGACTGACTGAGCTGTGGGTTTCTATTTGCAAGATATCCATAATGTGGATAGTCAAATGTGAAGATAATGCAAAACTAGATATGGTGTTTTTAAATCAGTGTTTCTTTGTGGATTTTTTGTCTGCCCTGAAATGTAGTTAGAATATTTTGTTTCATCAGCTGAAAGTCTAGCATTTTGAATCAAGCTACCTTTGTAAGAGTTACCAGGTATGGTATTTGAAAAATTGTGTTGCTATTAGTAATGCACACTATTAGTTTTGAGTGGTCATTTTAAGTACTAATATAGCATTTGTGCAACAAAGAGAATCACCAATTTTTTTCTATCTCTGACTCAGATAGTTCTCTCCCAATAGCTGCTTTTCTTGTGATCGGTATGTTCAGCCTCAAGTGTCATTTCGCAGTGGCTCTAAGCTTGAACCAAAGTGGATACAAGGAAACCCTAGTCCATCTGTCTTTCTTTATGGGACAGCTAGTAGCCAGAGCTTTTCAGATATAGTGATGTTCTAGCACAAACGAGATGCCCAAAACTCTTAAGTGCAATATTATATATGCAAAGTAAAAACTGCCACATCTAAATTGAGTATGTTAGAGGAGCAGCCCATGTATGTAATCTAGTCATGTCACGTGAGACTTCATAGTCCTTCGCTTTCAGGAGCTGGCAACAATTCTTATGTAGCACCTGTGGATTTCCAGATGGATGCATCATGAGTTTTTCTACTAAAAAGTAGAACCTTATGTAATATGACATTATCAAATCCAGAGATATTTTAAAAATAAAAGCCTTGGATGAAGTGTTGATATAAATCCATGCATGGGAATCTCACTGGAATTTAGTCAAAATAATATATGCTTCTCATTTCCAATGTTTTGATCTTGACTCAAAGTAACACATTCTCCATCCAGAGTGAGCCTGTATTATCAATGGCTTTCTGTGTACCGTGGTTGCTATTGGTTTTGTTCACGGAGCCGAGGTGAGCTAGAAACGTCAGAGGGAAACACAAACTAACACACTTAGAAATTGTGGTCAGTTACTATGGCGATTACCTGGCACAGCGATGGCATCCCAAACACCATAAGAAATTCAAGTTTTTACTTAATTGTGTGGCTCGCTTTATACACTATTTAGGTTCTTTTAAGACCTTCACTTATTCAAATGCTCCAGTATACATTGAAATATTTGCATTTATAGATATATTTTGCATACTTGATTTTTCAAAGGTATCATTTTTAACTTCTTTTGGTATTCTTAGATTAAATTCATAAGTTTAATGATTCCAGAGATACTAGAGAATTTGAGTCACAAAAGAAATGTTACAACAAGGGTTAGGGAATGGCTCAAGTGGTAGAACACCTGCTTAGAAGACTTGAGGCCCTGAGTACAAACCCCAGTTCTACAAACAAAGAAAAAAGAAATATTCCACCATGTCATAAAGCAAGAGGGCAAAATACAATTGCAGAAGCAATTCATTTAGCCAGTTTGACCAAAGAAAACTGTAGAAGAAAATAATCACTCCGTACATTTGGGTGTATATGATTTAGTTCCTCTAGTTAAAATAGAAATAGAGCAGAATGTCAAAATTAAGCCTCAGTCTTAAGGTTAAATCTCTTTTGTTTTGTACCTGATTTAGGGAAGTCAACCCTAATGAGGGAAAGATTTCAAATTCTAACTAACAAATATTAACCTTTTTAACCACAGTAAGTAAATCATAATGCTACCCTAACTTTGCCATGAAAGAATATATAAAATAGCTGCCATGATTTTTGCCTTTTATTCTTTAAGTCACAGAATGTGGGGCAAAAAGTGAAAATAAATAACATGCAGTCTTCATTTAGCTGTGTCTGAAGGAATGTCACCTTCCCCAGCCATTCCTCCTGTAGATCTAGCTACAATGGAGACAGAATTTTTCTTGTTAGAGAGAACATGTTGCTCTCTAGTTCTTAAACTCAAAGAAATTCTATACTTTAATATCAGCCTGTGACTAATATTTTTGAGATGTAGCTATTTAAATTATAGAGCTCTGCTTATAATTATGATTACTTCTTTATAATGAATTCCTGTATTTGGAGTTAAATCAAAGAATATATATTTTGAGGGATTTTTCTGCATATTGTCAATTTATCCTATAGAAACATTAATAAAAATACCTTTCTAGTTGTAGTATTTGAGATGCCTCTTTTCAGTATCCCACCCAGTTTTGCCAGTTATACTTGGCAAGTGATAGATATAAAATAATATTGCACATTTTAAAAGTGTACATCTCTATCCTTTAATTTCCCGCTGTCCTTAAATAGCTTATTAAATATTATCTTATCATATTAAATATCATTTTTTATTATCTTTATCATTTCATCATTTTTTATCATGTGGTAAGTAGGTTGTTCATTGTGCAAGTGTACCTGGCATGGGGGTGCTCACTCACCATGCTAACGGGGTGTCTTCACCCTAGTTCTACCTAATAAGGTAGACTTCTTCCTAAGAGGTCATATATACCACTGGGAAGTGATATATATACATAGTATTTGCATATGTATTACATTTTTCTAATTCACTTTTTAAATATAATTCTCACTAGTTTCTTGTATTTAGGTATTTTAACTATACTGAAATGCACACAGTTAACTCCATCTTCCTCCCCCCCATTTGATTTCCAGGTCATTCAGCAAAGAAATGAAGAATGTGATCACACACAATTTTTAATTGAGGAAAAAGAGTCAAAAGAAGAGGATTTTTATGAAGATCTTGACAGATTTGAAGAAAATGGCACCCAGGAATCACGCATCAGTCCCTACACCTTCTGCAAAGCGTTTCCTTTTCACATAATATTTGACCGGGACTTAGTGGTCACTCAGTGTGGCAATGCCATTTACAGAGTATTGCCCCAGGTAAACCCATGGTACACCTCCTCAGGGCCTGACACCAGGGTCACAGGTGCGATTCAGCCCTTTGACTGTATATAGGTGATGTCACACATCATGTATCCTGTAAGTGTTTAACCTTGCTTAAACATACTGCAGCTACTTACCTGTTTCTGCTTTAATCACTTACAGGGACAGTCGGAGGTTATCTGAGAATGATACACTTGATTTAATGAGAAAATGGGGAACTTGCAAGTGACAATCAGTTTTTACTTCTGTAGTCATTTATTGAATAAATCCATTGAATATATACCTTTTGAAAACAGCTTTCAAAATCAGCCATTGACCTGTCAGGGAAAGGAAAGGAACTTTAATAACACTCAAGATGAAAAAGTGAGATTATCATGGGGTTCCATTGAAAAGGCAGCAAAGAGCCCCAGATGGTTAGAAGCTGCATTTGACTTCTATTCTTGAGACCTACTAGAAAACTCCTTCCTCTTTCTCTTATCCACTCACTTCTGGAGTTGCTCACAACATGTCTAGTGGTACTTCTTGCTTGTAATTCAGAATTAGTCCAAATGGGGTCAAATGTAAACCTTGCAGATCTACAGGCAGAAGTGTGGATCTGCACTATCTCTGCAGTCCCCATTGAGTGACCCTAAGTGCAGCACTCTCTGCCTGTTTTCCCTCTCTTCCAACATGAGATAAAGATAAAGCACATGAAGATCCCTCAGTTCAGTGCCTGGTCCTTCATAAGCCACCAATCAATGTTGTATATGTTTGTCCTTACTAACCCTCCTTTGATGAACTTTAAGAAAGTGTTTGCAAGTGTTTTTGGTATTTAAATTCAGTTCAAGGTAGAAGCATTTAACACATAATGCTACAATAAAAGAAAATTTTTTCTTCTTTCTCCTGAAAACTCTTACATTATTTGTATCAGATTATATTTGAATATTATTATCTGAATCCATATTAGGTTTCATGTTCATGCAACTAACTCTTTGATGTCCATTTTGTCATTGAGTTGCATACAGCAAAATATGAGTTCAAAGATCGGATAACTTCTCTACACAATTCTGGCTTAATCTAGTAACTGATATCAAACCATAAAGATCATTTGAACTAACGAAGTGACCTTTGCTTTTTACCTGCATTCTAGCTCCAGCCTGGGAATTGCAGCCTTCTGTCTGTCTTCTCTCTCGTGCGTCCTCACATTGATATTAGTTTCCATGGGATTCTTTCTCACATCAATACAGTTTTTGTATTGAGAAGCAAGGTAATCAAGACTTATTTCATTAAATGTAAGTGAGGTTTGTTACCAGTTAGAAGTTATGAGGAAGAAAAATGAGCTATGATCACATTCTATGAGATAAAGAAGTTACAGCGAGATAAAAACCAAACCTCAAAGAGATGGCTGTTTAAAAGGCAATTGTCTGGCTTTGTGGTTTGGCTGAGGAACTGGAACTCTGTCAGCAGATCAGAATCAACAAAAGTAGGTTGTAGAGAGTGTCTTGTGGGCACATCCCATTTCACATAATAAAATCGGCATCTTCCCCCTGTGCAGGCATGATGCCTTATTTTAGCAATCAGAACTAACAAAGGTTTTTTTTTTTTTAAACTTCATCTTAAGCCACTGTTTTATTCTTCCCTAAATTGTTTATTATTCTTGGTGCCATTTTGTAGGAAAATAAAAGGGAAAAAATACTCATGCAGTTGGTAAGTTAGACAGTATCCAGATCTCATAGTTTGTGTTCCCAGGATAATTATAGCAAATGTGGTTTGCCTAGAGTACACATTTCATCCTTCCTACTCCTCCCAAAGGCCAAACCTACATGCATTTGATGCACTTGGAACGGACCACTTTTAGCTGTTCTGTGAATACAAGATTAGCTTGGTTCCATTTTTTTTTTCTTTTCTTCTTCTTTTTTTTTTTTTTTTTTTTTGGTAGAACCTAGTAATATGTGTTGCATCCATACTGGAAAATCAGGAAGAAAAAGACTCACAGAAGATTAAAATAAATATATGAACAAAAGCACAGGCCAGGCACAGTGGTTCACTTCTGTATTCCCAGCTATTTCGGTGGCAAAGATTGGGAGAATTGTGCTTCCAGGCCAAACCAGGCAAAAAGTTAGTGAGACCCCCGTCTGAACAAATAAGCTGGGTGTTTTGGCTCACATCTGTAATTTCAGCTACATGGGAGGCAAAGGAAAGTATGAGGCCATCCCTGGACAAAAATTTTAAGGCCCTATCTGAAAAATAAAGCAAAACCAAAGGCTAGAGGTGTGGCTCAAGTAGTAGTAGAGTGATTTCTTAGCAAGCATGAAGCCCTGAGTTCAAACCCAAATACTGCAGAAAACAAAAGCACCACCTCTGCCTTTCTGAGCTCAAAGGAGCAAGTCCAGGTTCATTCACCTCTCCCTGGTGTTGAAAGGTAGCCACTGTGCTTAATACCTGGCAAAACACCCTGTGGTGGTCGAATTGAGGCACTGATTTCTTCAGGCACTGGCTAATGGCTATATCTCACCTTTTCAAGGAAGGATTGCTGGATGTAGAGAAACTGGAATGTGAGGACGACTTGACTGGGACTGAGATCAGCTGTTTACGTCTCAAGGGTCAAATGATCTACTTACCGGAAGCAGACAGCATACTTTTTCTGTGTTCCCCAAGGTAAACATTTTTAGGTTAATGGTAATTGATTTAAGTATACGCCTTTAGTTACAAAACAAATTCAATAGCATTTAATTTTTTAGAAAAATTTTGACTAACATATACTAACCGTATATATTAATAGGGTTTAATGTGATATTCAGTATACAGAAAGCACTGATGAAATCCAGCGTCCCTTTATCCAATATTTTATTCCATCCTGCTCACTTTTGCTGACGTGTAAATACATTTTTCCTGTTCTAATTCTCTACAACAGGGGTCATCTTATTGATAATTTGTTTATAAACTCAGAAGAGATCTGTCACGTCTCAAGCCATTTTTGAAGTATTTATGCCATTAGATGGTGAGAGAACTTTCAAAAGAAGAATTGTGTAAAAAGCAGTTTTGTAAAGTATATAATATGATGTTATAAGTACACAGTACAGTGGGGATCAGGAATGAACTTTTCTATAGGATGCCTGTAAAAATGATAAAATGACTCTAAATGACTTTTGGATTTGAGTTACTTCACATTAAAATATTTAACTATTTTCATCAGGGTATACTAGTCAAAACATATTATGAAATAGAAACTTATGTTAAATATGTTGTTTATAAAAAGCCATCAAAAGAAGAACAAGCTATAGGCTGGTATTTTTCTAATTTGAGAAACCATTTTACCAACAGATGCATGGAATTCAGAATATGAAAAATATATCTAAATTTGCTTTACAACAATAGGAAAAGGTAAAGGTGGGGCTTGTTATTATGTGATATTTTGTATATAAGATTATATAAGTGTGGTAATGGCCTATTTCCTGAGAAATATGAAAATAAAAGAGACAAAATGAGGAACTATGATACTTTCTAAAAATTAATACCCTTTAATGGTCTAGAGGTATCTGCTATCAGATGTTTTCCTCTTCTTCCTCTTTTCAGACTGAGCCTATAGGATGGTAAATTCCCATTAGGGTGATTTCTCTTCAGGGAGAGAAGACTTTGGGGAGAGAAGCAGACATTTTGCAGTGTACCTGTTAACTGCTGTTTGCAGAAATCAGTCCTGTAGTGAGACATTCACAAATTGCAAAAGCATCTGCTCATGTGTGTAGGAAGATTTGTGCTCCTATTAAATAGAATGAGATCAATTTAAAAAACGTCTTACTTGTAAAATATATAATTCCAGGATGATTTGTTTAAATTAAGAAAAATTCATGATAGTAGTTCATTTAAATAATAAGGAATTTTAGAGCAACGAGATACTTATAATTTGATTAAATTTTCTAACATGGTATGAAAACTTTGCACTGTTCGTTTCTATTTTAAACTTATAATCATCTTTTTATTTTTCTGCTCATGGGAAGCTCTTGTATAACTTTTGGCAAATTATCTAGTCTCTGTCCAAATAGGTTTATTTCTCCAAGAGAGCTTTTAATTGCATATTTATTTTAACAAAATCAAAAAAGACTTTGTGCCTTATTAATAAAATCCTTGATTACTTTATTTTTGCCTCTTGCCATGCTAATTTTTGCTTTAACTTAAGGACATTTCTGTTGAGAATATTTTTCATGGGAACCTTTTATTAATTCAAAATTCTTTAGTAAAATCATACTTCATTTTGTCATTTTAGAGAAATTATTATTCTTAATATCTAGGAATAATTATTTTGCTTTTAAATAATTCAAACCAGTAATGTAAACTAGTTTAGCTAATGAGTGAGCTTTTCACTTATTGGAATGTCACCGAGTCAGCAGATAATATGCCGCTTCAAAAATGACTGAAGTTACAAAGATGTGTAGAATTCGACAAAGTCAAATAACACTTAGAGAAAATGAGAAAATTTAATCAAAGAAAATAAGAAAAGAAAAAGAACTGAGAGCCAGAATTAATAATAGCACAAAAAGAACATGCTAGGAGTCTCGTAAACATATAGAATGCTGATGAAGATGGCTAATAACTTTCGTAAACTTATTTATTTTATTTATTTTTTGCAGTACTGGAGTTTGAGCTCAGGGTCTCGCACTTCCTTGCAGACAGGGACTCTGCCACTTGAGCCATGCCTCAGCCATTTTATTTTAAGGCCTTAGTTTTCAGATAGGGCCTGTGCTTTTTGCCTGGGGCCAGCCTGGGACCACCATCATTCTACCTGTGCACCCCACGTAGCGGGGACCACAGACTTGTGTCATCATATCCAGCTTGCTGATTGAGATGGGGTTTCACTAACCTTTTTGTCCATGTTGGCTTTGAACCATTATCCTTCTAATCTTTACCTTCTGTGCAGCTGAGATTACAGGTGTGAGCCAATGCATCCTTTTCTTGTAAACTTTTAATTATTGTTTCCAAATGGAAGAAGTAATCAATTGCAAGATTCATAGAATCCGTAAGGCAAAAGCAAGCTGGTTTCTCAAAAGAATTATTATTCCTAAGAGAGTAAAAATAGGTTTTTTTCTTTCAGTTTTATTTTATGATAAAAAATTTTAAAAAGCAGCCTTGTAATAAGTTTCTGAGCAGATTTCATAGGATAGTTCTGTATTTTATCTTTCAGTTAACACAAATGACTCCAAAAAATGCATCCTTATGAAAATGCATTGCAAGCTCACTAGGTTCAGTTTTGTTTGTTTTTCGTAGTAAAAGTAATAGTAAAGTTTATTAGGAAAGAAAATAGTTTCTGCTGGGTATTGAGGGGGTGGGGGGGAGAGGGAGGGGGTGGAGTGGGTGGTAAGGGAGGGGGTGGGGGCAGGGGGGAGAAAAAGAAATCTAGTATGATAGGATAAAAGTGGGGAGAAATGGGGAAAAAAGGGAGAAACACTTTCTGCTCCCCATACAGGAAATGAGAAACTCACTACTTTTCAAATGACTTTTTAAGTTTCTGAGAGAATAAAGTCACTTTATTCATTATTTTCCCAGTCTGACCTTTTGAGTGGTAGGCATTGGCTGCATGACACCAACAGTGGCAGGGAAAATTTTGGGTCTGAATTTGCCCCATTCTCTGTGTGACAGTGTGATGAACCTGGATGACTTGACAAGGAGAGGGCTGTACTTGAGCGACATACCCCTACATGATGCCACCCGCGACCTCGTTCTCTTGGGAGAGCAGTTCCGGGAGGAGTACAAACTGACACAAGAGCTGGAAATCCTCACAGACAGGCTGCAGCTCACACTGCGAGCCCTGGAAGATGAAAAGAAAAAGACAGACACGTAAGAGTGTGGTCAAAGAAGGGCACGGATTTATTCATAGTATGTCACAATTGTAGTGTCGTGAAGACTGGTACCCAGACTAGAAAGACTTGGAACTTCTGTACTCTGACGACTGTGAGGCTCTGCTTCCATATATTGATTAAAAACAGTAAATTCCAGACTTTCATAAGACATTTCACCCAGATTCTTGCCTGTCCATTTTTTAATGTTTATGAAATAGCAGGTGGTGTTGCTGGAGACTTGACCCAATCTGTCTTGCTTCACGTAACTACTTCTACCTACTGGATCGATTAGTGCTTCTTCAGCACTGATGTGTTCGTAGATGCCCGTGAGTGGATGTCGGCCATAGAAGGAAACACACCAGTTAACCTTATCCATAGCGTGGATGAAGTAGAGAATGCCATTGCAAACGCTTGGCTTGTCTGTAACTACTCACTCCACACACACAGTGTGTAGTTCCTTTGAGAGCCCTTTGTTTCCCCCATGATCCTGAACTACAACCGGATTCATCCACACACATATGGAGCAAATTTCAGCAAGTGTATGGGGCAGGCAGCTCAACATTTTCCATTACTTGAAACCAATTCAAAGTGTACATTTCACTGTTACACTGCACCAATTTATCCATGAAATATTACACTTTTATGGAGCTTGTAAGACCACACTTAGGACTAGATCCAAAGTCACATGAGTTTGTGAGTTTTGACTGAGTATCCTGCTCCGTCTGTAATAAGAGGAAACCATGTTGGTTTTATTTGTTGTTGATGTTATTCTCTGGCTTGATATTGTCTGGTATCTACATTTGTACTTGTGTTAGTCAGCTTTCTGTGGCTATAACAAATATCTGAGATAAGTCAACCTGAAGGCAGGAAAGGGACTTCTTTGTTTATTTGTTTCGACTCATAGTTTTGATGGCTTGGTCCTATTGTTTTAGGCCTGTGGCAGCACAGAGCATCACGGCAGGAGTGTGCAGTGGAGAAGGCTACTCACTCCATGGTGGCTGGCCTGCTAGAGAAAGGAAGAGCCCTTCATCCTAGCATCCTCTCAAAGGGCACTTCCCCAGTGACCTATTTTCCTCTCATTAGGCCCCACATCTTAAAGTCTCCACCACCTCCCCAAAGTGTCACAGGCTGGTGTCTATACCTTCAACACATGGTCTTGGGGGACATTTCTGGTCCAGAGTATAACACCAATAAAGATACCTAGCACTCTAAAGAATGCACAATTTAAATTGTGAAAATATCCATATGTGCTATATTCTATATTGAAAAAGCTCTTAGGTCACTTTTCCCCTACATTATTAGCTTAGGCCAAGTATTTACTTCTCTTAGGAATAGGTTTACTGTTAACATTTAATATTCAGTATAGCTTTAACTTTCTGTTTAGAAGTTAAAAAATGTACACTGGAGAAATAACAAATATGGCCAGGATTACAATTGAGAGCTCAGCTCCATTCTGCATATTTGAACTTCACCCTTTGGTTTTAGGGAAGAAACACTTTGCTAAAGCTGACAATACCCAATGCCAGTAGTCATCTCAGTATCCGCTCTAGAAATAAATAGAATATTTTCTTGTCTGGATCAATCCCCACTTGTTTTACCAGTCTCTTTCACAGAAGAGTGAGGTGGGAATGGACCGGAGAGCGCCCTGCTCCATTTACTATGACATCACAAAACCTGAGAAAATCTCTTTTTATTCCTGAGAGGTAAATGTGTATCAGGGATTGTGCCGATTATGACAACTGTCACATCGTCACTATCATGACAAACGGGCCAAAAGACAGAACTACAAATGAAAACTTGATTTTCCTTGGACAGTCCTTTCTTTCTTTTTCTTTTTCTGGTCTGCTTGTTTGCTTGTTTAGCTCATTTTGATTTGGTTTAAATTGGCTTAGGTCTGGGGACATATACGATTAGAATGAATGAATGGCTTGTGTACCCTATGTGTCGTTCTTTGCTTATGTATGTAACTAATCTTTGATGATGACTTTAGAAGGTGGCCTATCAGATCTGGTGCAAAGGGCCTTGATGCTATAAGGCAGGGTCCCAGCTTTTCTTACAGTGCTTTTTCTCCACACTCACAGATTGCTGTACTCGGTCCTTCCTCCTTCTGTTGCCAATGAACTGAGACATAAGCGTCCAGTGCCTGCCAAAAGATATGACAATGTGACCATCCTCTTCAGTGGTATTGTGGGCTTCAACACATTCTGTAGCAAACATGCATCTGGAGAAGGGGCCATGAAGATTGTCAATCTTCTCAATGACCTCTACACGAGATTTGACACTCTGACGGATTCAAGGAAAAACCCATTTGTTTACAAGGCAAGTCCTCAGGAGCGACAGCAGGGCTGTTTGGAGCCTGGGTTCCAAGCAATGTTCTCAGTCTGTAGCTGCAGCCAGGCACAGTGAGCTGTGATGCAGAAATGATTTACCATTTCCTTAAATAATTACTTTTATTTATAAAACTTTCTTCTCATTGTAACTAAAACCAAAGTTTCATAGCGTGGACGATTCACTGATTAAAATGAAGTATTCGGCAGCTGACTCACACTTAGGCTAACAAATCTGTGCAGGCTGTTTATCACATTTAGTATAAACACGGCATTCATTCTGGTGTTCTGCAGAAGACATTTTTACTGAAATATATAAATGCTTTGCGCCACAAAGAAGTCATGGGGCTTGGGAAAGTTCTTGGGCCTCAGGTTTGCTTTTAGATAACATCAACTTGAAGGTAAACATTTACAAGGTATTTCTGCCCTTTGTTTCAAGTTTGTTTCAAGTAGAAACAAAGATAATATCGGAAAAATGAAGTCAGTGGAATATTGCTTTATAAAGGCAAGAATGTTAACTAAACCAACTCCAGACATTCAGCATAATATAACTTCACAGGGACTATTTATTTTGTGGTCAATTTCTGAGGCCCAGGGTAGCACTTGGTGAGCATACCATAAAAATGAATAGTTGGTGGCCATGATAAGTCACTTCAGCCAGTGACTCTTAAACCATCAAACCATCAAAATAAGGTATTCAATTATTCTACTAAATTATGAGCATATCTCAGGTGGGAAACTGTTTCTTAGAGCAAAAACTAATTCTCTGCCTGTACTTGCCTATAATTCAAGGCCCCACATGTCAAGTGTATAAATTCCAAATAATTATAAGGTTTCATCTTGTTGGATTTCGTGTGTTGAGATTTTGAGAGAATTAAGAAGGAAGGAAATTTAAAGTTGGTAACTTTACCAACCATAGGAAAATATTTTTTCTTAGGGTAATAAATCATCTTTATATGAACCATTGAGCATGTAAATGTGTCTTGTGCCAGGTGGAGACCGTTGGTGATAAATACATGACAGTGAGTGGTTTACCAGAGCCTTGCATCCACCATGCACGGTCAATTTGCCACCTGGCCTTGGATATGATGGAAATTGCTGGCCAAGTTCAGGTGGATGGTGAATCTGTTCAGGTTAGTACAATGTAGATATTATAACGTTAGCAGTGGTCCTTATGCAGAATAGATTCGTGTTCTTGTCTAGGAAGTCATTAACATGTATAAGGAAGGGAGTGTTACAATAAAGGATAAGATATTTTATTGAGCCCATTGTATTTCATAGAAATGGGAACTGTGTCTTCCTATTTAAAATTAGCTAGTCTGCCCCATGTCCCAAAGATGAGATTAAACCTCCTGCCCTTCTGCTTTTTGTTTAAAATCACTTTCATGAGTCTCACTCAAGTTGCTCAATTCACATCTTTAAAGTCTGCAACGTCAGATGTTTTTCTTGGAACAGAATGTTTCTCAGGAGAAAGAAATTTGGTTAGGGCATTTGGGTTGTCTGCAATAGCCTTGAAGTGCTCATAAGAATGCTTATATTTTCAATGAGGACTCTCCTTTCTTCTGTAATATAAATGAGCAAGCTTGTACATATTCACGAGAAAAGCGAGTGAAGCAAAGCTCTGCTTTCTGCAGATCACAATAGGGATACACACTGGAGAGGTCGTGACAGGTGTCATAGGGCAACGCATGCCTCGGTACTGTCTCTTTGGAAACACTGTCAACCTCACAAGCAGAACAGAAACCACAGGAGAAAAGGGGAAAATAAACGTGTCAGAATATACCTACAGGTAAGAGAAATGGTCTTGGTATTTACTGACTTGGGAGGGAAAACGTGCCTTGTGTGTGGGCTAGGTGAGTGATTTTGTTACCTTTAGTGATCTTCTCCCCTCCCCTCTGCATATAGGGTTATTTGTCATTTGAGAAGACCTGTTATTGTTTCCATTTGATTTATTTTTGGCCATACTGAGGTTTGAACTCAGTGCCTTGTACTTGCAAGGCAGGCACTCAACCACTTGAGCCACAATTCCAGTCCCCTTGTTTACATTTTAAATGATTCCAGCCCTCCTAGGAAATGTTGACATGCTTATTGTGTCTAAAACTTCAAATGCCTTTAAATATGACTCCAGTATATTTTCTTGCGTCTTGGTTCTCCACACAACCTTTATCTACTTTTCTCCCTACTTCCTGTGCCCTATCTTTTAGGTGTCTTATGTCTCCAGAGAATTCAGATCCACAATTCCAGTTGGAGCACAGAGGACCAGTGTCCATGAAGGGCAAAAAAGAACCAATGCAAGTTTGGTTTCTATCCAGAAAAAACACAGAGACAGAGGTATGACTAATCAGAGCGCAATACTGTTTTCTAAGGTTGAGTATAAAATGGGGAAGTCAATTGTAAGCACTGAAAGCATGCTAACTCTTTAGTTAAGTGGTAGAAATAACTGAAGCGTGAATGAGCTGTTTTGAACAATGCACACTTTTTAGGGGGCACCTTATGGCTGCCAACTTTTGTCCTCTAATGGAATTAAAACAAAGTACCAGAGTGAGCAGGTTTGTGTTTTTGTTCTTTGTAATCCAGTCAAACAGGACTGAGGTAAGTGGGCTGTGAGGGACCCACCCACCAGGCCCTTTCCTACTGCCACTTCTTCTTTTCCTTCTTCGTT